AACACGCTGCTATTCACAACAGCACAGTCTCCCTATGCCTGAAGAAGGGTACTTGTTCCCAAAAGCTTTCAAAGAACTTTGTTCCAATTACTCAGTTGGTCTAATAAAAAATATCACATCTACTCAAAGAACCTTGCCGGTCTATGTCCTCAGACCAACATGGCTACAACCAAAAACCTGCACCCTGGAAAATTAGTTTCTATTTCAGTCTCTACCACAGATCTTCCCCTGCACACAGTTACCATCATTCATGTGCCTGCAATTTTACAGGGAGGTGAGAATGAGCTGCATTTTAGCCTGCTCTAAAACTAACTAGTTCTAGGCCTACTCCTAACTAATGGTAAGGTACCTCAGCCAGGGCAGCTTACCCCTCAATGAAACAGGCCAATTTTTCCAGGTTGGCTTTCACTAATGGTGGGTTAGTTACAGGTACACCAAATACCTACCATTAAATGGAAAGTGCATCACCTGCTCTGCAGTCACAGCCTCAGAGCCTGCAATTACCCATGACAAGTGAGAGTTAAGCTGGAACAAGTTAGTTGCTTTGTTCAGGGGTAAGCTGTCCTAGTTTAGCTCTCAGTTTGAGAGGTAATTGAGGGCACAGAGATAGTTACCATAGAGCAGCTGAGGCACAGTAAAGCCTCACTCCTTGTTAATTAAGGACATAATAGGTCACAGCAAGCTTGGAGAAATTCAAGGTTCTGTTGGGCTCACCACCCACCCTGTGGCTGCTGCAACTGCAGACATGCAACCCCCATGTCTGTAATATGTTCTTCAACGACTTTGCATCTGCTAAATAATGCTAAAGATGAATGGTATCTTCCAGTTTTTTGGCTATAAGCTCTTTGGAGCAAGAGCTGTACCTTTTACATTGGTCAAGTACTAACTGCATTTCAGGCACACCAAAAATACAAATATCTCGTATATTTTGAAGAATATGCTAAGGGACTTACGTCCTACTAATTCACTTAGAGGTAACTCTGTTCCACTGAATCTTAGTGCTTCATCAATCAACTTTTCCTTTCCCTAATAGTTCTCAATCTTTCTCCTTTTGAAGACTACTCCATGAGAGTTCTCCAACATTGGACTACTTGCTTGTCCATCACTTCAGTAGCCTATAGCTTGTTTTCAAAATATGTCACTCACAAGACTGCCAGGCAGAGCTTTGTGCAACGATGAGCTAGAACAAGGCATAACTAATTATAAAAAAATATATGAAGTGGATGGCTGGGTATGGTATGGAATATATTTCACATGTCCCCTAGCAAATTACAATGCCCAGCAAGAACTATTGGCATCTGCAAGTAGTTTAAAAAAAACAAATAACTCCATCCCCCCAAACCTTATAATTAAGTCATCAGCCAGGCTATTTCTGGCACAGATCTTCAGTAGTCTAACATGCATATGTGTCACAGTCACATTAAAGTTTATATCAGCTGGTAAATATATCCTTTTATGTATAGTAAGCGCAAAAACTCTTGCAGTGAGCTTGTTCTCCTTATAATTCAAAACACACAAAGAAATTAAACATGGTTTGTACACCTTAGAAAATTGAATCAGGTTTTGTTCCATTTGACTCACAGGCATTGTTTGAAGGATTAAAAGAACCACATAATTACAGTGGCTCTCTAAAGCTGACCACAGCTCAGAGGAGATAAATGACTTACCTCATTATGCCTGAGTGTTCTCTCTCAATCTGGTTTAAAAATGAACAAAGACAGGAGCCCCATATGTTGTATTATCAAAAGAACAGAAATGCTCCCATAGATCAGGATATTGGACATAGTAAAAGGCCACATTTAAAATCTTCCACTCCCTTTACTTTGTATTCTGTCTCTTATTTTGTTTACTTCCAAGAACTATCATTCTATTCTGTTTATCCATTTGTCAGATATAATAGAAACTATTCCTAACACACAACATTTCTGTATCTGAAATGCAATGTTATTTGTATATTATAAATCAGATACTTTCTGCCTGAATTATGCCAGTAGCACCATTGACATGGCTGAGTAACATGAACCTAAATTTAGCCCTGAATTTTATCTGTTTATCTGAATTAACCTTTGAGGGACAAATCGTATAGGCTTCACTCAATCCTAACAAAGGCAAACTTCCCAAAGATAAGGGAAGTCAGATCTCACAATATCACACTGAAGACAAAGAGAGTGTTGCCAAGGTAAAAACTGAGCCACAGAATATCTAGTAGCCATAGTATGTAAACTGTAATCTCAGTACCACGAAAGGCACTATTTAAAAAAAAAAGCAATTCCTTTTCTACTTTCTAACTCAGAAATGGTACCGGACATGTAGAAAGGTATTTTACATGATAATCAATCCCAGTTGTACCAGTAACTTTAATGGTTGGAGACATTTTGCTTTGGGATTACTCTAAAATGCTTTTGATAACAAGGTTCCAATCTAAACCAAAACCATAACTCAGCATAATTTTTCTGACTACTGCTTACCTCTTTCAACCTGTCCAACTCATTTTGTACTGCCTGCTTGGATATTTCCACCTCAATGATCTGCTGTCGAAGGATCTCATTCTCGTCTTCTGCTTTAACACGTTTCTCTTCCACACTCTCCAGTTCATGGTGCAGTCTGACAGATACATCTTTGGCTACCTGATTGAAACAGCACAAACATATATATAAATTCTAATATGTCACAAGTAAGCTATGTTCTCTGAACACAAACTATATCTCAACTTCAAACAATAAAAGAATTTTTGGTTTTTGGTTTGTATATTCAGAGGTGTACTGTGCCAGAATTTATATTCATGCATCCAAAGGAGAAAAACAAGAAGGGAACTTTAGAGTTATCAAAGCACTTCTCTCAAAATTAAGACAATGCCAGGGATACCACTTAAAAAGCCTTTTATGCACTGACTGTGAACTGTATGACATTGCTTAAAAAATATGCTGGAATTATGCTGTAAGCTCTGACAAGTCTCTGATCTGATCAAAACCACAGGTGTGCAGCACCCTCATCCACCAGGACTTGTTGCATCACCAGCAATCAGAACTAAAGTAAAAAGGATGACTGAGAGGAGAAACTGAGGCAGAGGGAGGGGAAATGAAACAGCAAATGAGTGGCAGAGCTAGAAGCTGAACTCAGGACCCAAGTCCTTTTCCAGGGTCCAGTCTGCTAGGGCAGTCTGCCGCTGTGTTGTGAAGCCCTACCTACCTCCCTGTTAAGGCCCTATGCCTATTATTCTAAACCTATGATTATTTTCTTAACCATTTTGGTGATCAGGGGGTGATCAGAGCTTCTCTTTCACTTAGGAAAGCCAGCTGGTATCTAAGCACCACTGTATCTGACAGAAAAAGACACTGAGTCCCACTGACAAAAGGGAGATACCTGCTCCTCTGATACTTACAGGGGTACATAGTGGGGGAGGGAGGGTGCAAGCAGGTCACCAGCACTAGGTTTTGATCCAGAGGGAGTGCCAGGGGAACCCACACCACTGCACTGTCACAGCTTCAGCAGCAATCCACGTGCAGGGGCTTGCACTAATACAGCAGCAGCCCATGCCCCCTTAACTATACCAGCCTCTGCAAAAGGAAGTAAGTGCTGACAAGTCATCATGAAGAACATCAAAATTTTAAGTTACAGCTATGAGAATAGGGGTACCCCTGCATCAGCTGGCAAAGAAATGCTCCTTCCTGCTATACGATATGAGACAATGCACCTTGGTCAAGAAAGGAGACAAACTTTAAACAGATTTCTCCACTCTCCTGCAAATGGACAATTGATGCCTTTGCCCACTTGCCTCCTTAGCTCTCCAGAAAAGAATCGAATGATGAGTATCTGCAGCAATCAGAACTAGGTAAAACTGGCACAAAAGCTAAAAAACTAAATAATAATAATAATGAAAGTTCTTTTTAAAAAGGAAAAGGAGGAATCTCTCTTATAAGCATATTTAGAATGGTGAAGATTATTTGAATTACAGTACAACAGCTAAAGTATATAATATTGTCCAGTTCTAAAAGGTTATTTTGTTTTGCAAATTCTAGTTCAAAGTTTTTCAAAATGTCAAGTGTGAAATCTATTTTTCAAAACATTTGCAAATGTCCAAAACATTTGAAAAAACAGACGAGACAAATTAGATTTTCAAAAACAAGCTTTTGCAAAGCTTATCCTAAATGCAACATTGCCATTAACATTTTTAAAAATATTTCAGTGCTAACAGTTTATTTCATAGGAATCATATGTTTCTACAGTATTTCAAATCCAAACATTTGAATGTACAGCCATTATCACCAAAACATGAAACATACCAGAAACTGATAAAAAAGAAGTTAGATTTTGACTATCTTTAAAAAAAAGGGAAAAGAAGGAAAAATAAAAATATATTTAGATTTTTTTAAATTACACAGTAAAACTTTTTTTTTAAAGAAACACATGAATGTAACTATTTGAGTTTGTGTGTATGGTTTTTGTTTGTAAAATCCTGTTTTGATTATACCAAGTTGCACATTTGCTCGCTACAAATAGAAAATATTTTGACACGTTGAGAAATATAGGTGTTACTTTTATCTTAATTATTTTGTTGAGAGACCAAGACCATGTACTTCAGCTTTCTGCTATGAATGTCCATAAGTCCCTCACCCACCTTTAAATCTTGTTCCAAACTTCTAATGAGTTCTCCATCCACTTGGCCTGTTTGTGCAACTTTCAAGCTTTTCTGTTCTGCTTTCCTGAGACGATATTGCAGGATGCGGCAGTTCTTGTTTGCACGGTCCAACTCTCGCCGGAGTTCCTGCAGCTGGTAAACATCTTCCTCTAAGTAACTGTCACGCATCTCTTCCATTTCAGCACGTAGCTCATCCAGCTCATCCTGTGAAAAGCCAAAAGTCTTCCATCATATCTCTAAATCTCACCCAGAGGAACAAAAAAAATTCCCCATGCTTGCCAGCATACATTATCAATAAGGTGAAAACCAAAACACAGAAACAGCAATATTATCCCTTAATGGAATAATTATGTTGAAATGTATTAATGAATTCCTGTTCTATTCATTACAATTGCCATGGCAATTAACTGAGAGATAAGGGGCTTTGGGGGTGATGCCTTTTACTGGACAAACTATAGTTGAGACAGAGACAAGCTTTCAAATTCAAAACATTCTTCTTCAGGTCCTTTTTCACGTACCTACTATCACAGTAATTAAGAACAGATCAGAATTACAAGGATGTATATCTGTCTCCTAAAACAGATAACATTTTTTCCCTTTCCATAGTGAATTAAAATAAAAATTTACATAGCAGTCCTTATCTTAATTTTTTTTTCAACAGAATTATAGCAAACCCACCTTACTGCTTCAGCTGCTCTGCATAACGTCTTTATAATACAAATCCTTTAAAGTCGAAATTGTCCTTTTGCATGTTAATAACTTTAATACATCTTCACAACATAAACTTTTCATCTCTTTAGCCAATCAACTGTTCCAACATAAAAATTCTTTACAACCAAGTCTAATCAGCACAAATGCACTTAACACCCAGTTAGCTGAGACTCCCCTCCCCACCACCACCCAACCAGTGTGTGCTTGCAAACACAAATGCATATTCCAGAATCACAAGCAGCAAAAAAAAATGTGTCAAGGAAATATAAACAAGTCACTTCTTCCCTAAAATCTTTAATTCTGCCCCAATTCTAAATCATACCACAAGGGCACGTTTCCTCCCCTAAATCAGATATGAAGATTTACAGCAGGGTAAACCACTGCTAGCTGAGGATGAATTCTATCATTCCAGTTTGTTTCATCTGTGCATGACTGAAGCTCTTGAGCTAAAGTCCTTCACAGACCTTCCAGTTCAGGGGTACAGGCCATCAAATTGCTTTGGCAGCTCCAGCAACATTTACTACTCCATTATTAACTTCATACTGAGTTTAACAAAGAGAAAGGACTCATGCCAAGGGAAAGTGCAAGGACAAGTGCTGTTCTACACCATAAACTCCTTTAGCACAACTGGTACAGCCGCAATATATTATCAGCCTAACTTAAAAGGCATAGTTACATATTTTAATAAGCAATACAAAGAAGCAGTATTTATAAGGGGAAACTATTATATAATACATTTAGAATTCTCGTCTGAATACCTTTGACTATTAATTAAATTTCATGTGCACAGGTTAAAAAGATGAGACACTTTTTTTACCGTTTTAAAGTTTTCAGTTCATCAGGGTTGGTAAGTCTGACAAAAAATACCAAAATAATTCAAATTTTGAAATTAAATCTGATGTTTTATTTAGAGCAGATTTTCACATTAAATTAAATATCACATTAAAAAATAAACCAGGTGAAAATTAAATTTCTAATTATAATAGCCTATAGTGAGATTTAAAGTTATTGCATTTCGTTACTGCCATTTAAATTACATAAAAATACTATTCAAGCAGCACGTTTACTTACAATGTTTTTAAGAAATTAGACTACTGAAGTAAGGAAAGTAAGCGAGGGGGAAGGGGAAGGCAGGAGCGGAGGAAACATCAGACTGCCAGACCAAGCAACACCCACAAATACA